AAACCCGGATCAAACTCAAATTTAACTAAAAGTTTTTCAAATCAAATCAAACTTTAATGCTTCAAACTCAAATCAAATGCAAACTTAGTTAAAGTTTGATTTGAGTTTGATTTGTAGAAACCCTATGAGAATGTTATAGTTATGGTTCATACAGCACTTATAAATATAGATAATATTGATGACTGTTTAGAAAGTGACCAAGAATTCCATATTGAAATAACCATTAATTTAGATATATTAATTGAAAAAATTCCATTGAATGTTTTAGATGATCAGCATGAACAATTTCTTGCAAATGAGATTGTTAAATATATTGAACAAGGAGATGGTTTAGTTATGTTTATCATACAAAATCCGTCTCACAAAAAACTAAAAAAATTATTCAATTATTGGTGCAATTGTCATAAAGAGCTTACCTCAAAGCATCCAAAGCATATTAATATATCAAAGCAATGAAATACAGAACCATTTCTTACTCGATATAGATGTAAAGATCTTCTTTTAGTAGACATAAATTTGAATGATAACAATAATCTTGCAAATGTTAAATTATATCATAAACAACTTCATCAACGATCTAGACATGTTGGTGTATCAGAAGAAATTAAGCAATTTATTCGTGAAAATTTAGAACAAAGAGCATCTGATCTTCATAGAATAATTATATCTAAAAAACTTAATGGATTCGAAGTTTTAACTCTTGACCAAGTATATTTTTGGTGGGCATGTGAAGCTTCAATACGATTTCAAAGACATGATGATCAGTATGAGTCAGTGAAGTTGCTTTTAATTGAAAATGAATATAAAATTTTATTAGATTTAAATTTACCAACACATATATTAGGCTATTTGACACTTTTTTTTAATGAATTGCCAAAAGAATCATTTGAAACAATTATGGTTGATGCCACATATAATACCAATCAATTAAAATATGATCTTTATACAGTAATGGCTATAATTGATGAAACAGGATTTCCTATTTCTTACTGTTTTGTTAAAAATGAAAAAGGACGAGATATTTGTGCAGCTATTACAGCATGATTTAAGTGTTTATATGATCATGGTCTTAGAGAAGTAAAAATAATTCTTTCTGATAAGGATTTTGCACAGATAAGTAGTAGGTTGCAATTTGGAAAAATGCTGAAATTCAGCTTTATAAATGGCACATAAAATGTGCCATTGAACAAAAACTATCAAAATATAAAAAAAGTTCTTTTCGATGTGATGCAGCTATTGCGCACCAACAATGTAATATAATTGATTCAACATAGCAATCATGTCAAGATAATAATATAAATCCAAAAAAGGTTTTTTTGGAAGTATCATTACGAAAAGAATTGTTAGAATATATTGATACACATTATAATCGTCACATGTTAATCCCAACAGCTGATAAAGAATTTGTAATAACACCAAATGAAATATGGATACGGGCTGTTAATAAAGTATTTCAATATTGTCATCAACATGATTTATTTTATGTTTGGAGCTATTTATAGTTAGAATGGTACTGATGAGAACATTGGTGTCTTTGGGCATTATCAACACATAAAACAGGTTCAATTATTCATACAACAATGATTTTAGAATCTCACTGGAGGATTCTAAAACATGACTTTTTATACAAGTTTAATTGTTCATATTTAGATATCCTTTGCTATATAATAATTAATAAGATGCTTCCAAAATTATTGCATCGTTATAATCTTCTTGTTACTGGACGAATTCAACCTTCTTGGTGAAAAGATTTTAAGCATGAATGGAAACAACTTTTATTTTGAAAAATTAATAAATATCTTACAGCTCATAATCGTTGGATTTGCTTATGTCATTCATTTTTAAAAAGTCGATTCTCTCTTTGTAAGCATCTTGTTGTGCCACTAGGAGATATGGAAAGCTCTTTTTTCAATACAGTACAACGAAATAATAAATATCCATTTATTTTTGAAGCACATCAATCAGTTTGGAGTATGATTTATAATAGTCCACAATATGAATCAAAGCGAATGGATCCTATAATTATGAATAATAATGATGAAATTGAACTAAATATGGATGAAAATTTAAATGATATTAATAACGACGATAATGACAGTGACATAAAATTTAATAAAGCTATCGAATTAAAAACTATACTTGAGAAGGTAATATATATAGTGAATTATTTATTTATTTTTATATTTATATTAATAATAAGCATTCATTTTTTGTAGGCTATAAATTTTATTGAAAAATCATCCACTCTTCGGTCGAAAAAAACTTTAACCCTGTAAAAAAAATGGTTGAAGATCTAGAAAAATTTGAAAATGCCAAAACGGCAGGAAAAACTTGGAATGGACGTAATTTAAATACTTTTTATTGGCAATGACGAATTGGTGAGCTTCTTTTATTATATATATGGTTAAATAAAAATTTAAAAACAAAAATTTTTTGCAACTACTTAATTTTGATATCGTAGATATTAATAATAATTTTTTTTCGACTTTAATATTATAATAGCAACTTTTCACATAATTGCTTTAATTTTTATTTTCTGTATTTCCGAATTTAACTTTTTTCGATTATAATCGTTGGGTTTTATTCAAGAACATAGCCATCCATTTATTATAAAGTATATTTAAAAAAATAAACAAAATTTATTTTATCGATATTGTTAAATTCCATTTCGCCGTTATATCATATGCTAAATTTATCAACAGCTCAAAATATTTGAACACCGATACGTAACTGATTTTTGGGGTGATGCTAGGGAGGTTATCATTTTGAGCCAAGTATGCAATTTTTTAAAAAGTATAAAATTCAAAATAACTCTTTAAAAAAGGTATAAATTTAAAATAACGCTCACATGCGTTATTACGCGCAAATACGGTAAGGCAATCTAATCGACATGACCTGGTAAGAAAACCGTTGTAACTATCACCTTATTAAAAAAAAAAAAAACTTTCGTTATAGTGAGTGATCAGTTCCATTAATAATAAAAGTTTAAAATTTTCCTAAATCGAGAGTTTTATTAGTAAAAATTCTATCAAGATCGTGATTTTAATAAGTCTTCACTATATTAAAAGTTCAATATAACAAGGTGACTTGTATTTATTTTCTAGTAATGAAGATACAAATCAAATATCAAATAACATATGGTATGAAAAATTAATAGAATTATAAATATATATATATAATATATTAGAACATATTGAGGTATATATGTATGGATGGATCTAAATTATGCATAGACCCGCATAGAGGTTGTTACTTTCTGAGATTTCTTATACGTAGGTTATTAATTTTACCTTATTAGGGGGTTTCAAAACTAATTTATTTCGAAAATAAGTGGAGTTTAAAAAATCTCATTTATGTTTTGAGAAAACTAAATATGTAAAAAAATTTTTTTTTTAAAAAAAAAGATTCTCAATTAGAAATAAATAGGTCCACTTATGTTATCCGAAAGAAACCCCCATTAATATTAGTTGGCTAAATATAAACAGGAATAAACATTAAATTCAAGCTACAATCTTTTGTGTAAGATATTTATGTATAAAAAAATGGGTTCTATATGAATTGGCTTCACTCATAAGTTTTTGTACCGTTTGATCGTAATCTTTTTCCTTTACGTCAGAAAATTTTATAACGGAACGAAATACATCGAGAGAGTATGTTCTATATGCATCTTTCAAATGAGTAGGCCAGCATCCAAGGGCAAATGGTCTTTGATGATGATCAATAATATCGTGATATTTATTTGTAGATTTCAAGATTTCTTCGATTTTTTCGGAAATTAATAAGTTTACCTTTGTAGAGAGAATGTAATCAAAGACTAACCATATTTGACAAATACGTATGTATCAATAATATAATATAGGAACATAAAAGATTAATTTTGTAAATATTAAAAAATTTGCTTACATTTTTTTGATAACTTTTTTAGAAGAGGGCCACAATTTAATGCACGCAGTTCCGCTTCGGTTATCTGATAAAATCAATATAAATAAAAGGGACAGTTACATGATAAGTTAGCAAAAAACATTAAAAAATAACAAAATTTTACCTCAATATAGCCTCCGGGTTTCAAAACTCGGGTGCATTCTTTAATTAAAGAACTCCACTGGCTTTCTTGTATATCATAAGCCATATTTCGAACATAAACAAAATCAAATGAATTGTCGCCAAATGGTAGTCCATCAATAACATTTGCAGTAACAAAATCCACGTTTTTTGGTCTAGTAGAGGAAAAAAGTTGAGGCGTTATATCGACTCCGACATAGTTGCAATTTGGAAAGTCGGAGGACATTTCAAAAAGCCATGTACCAAAACCACAGCTATATAAAAATATATATTAATAAATATATTGATTTTTGAAGAAGACAATATCATAATTAGTGATCCTGGTCAATCAAAATTTTCAACCGACCAAGCCAATAAGGCTTGATCGGTTTGGCCGAAAAACTTTGGTTAATTATATTAACAAATAAAAATTCGTTACTATATAAATTTATTAGTCTTCTTTATACATAACTTTCCTAATAAAATCACTAGCCAATTTTCGACTGATTGTGTCGACCGAAGATTGGCTTAGTCGATTTTTTTTGTTATTGGAAACAGTTTTGACTTATCGTTATGACCTGTTATAGCATATTGACTAAATATAGGTTATACGATCTTATGACTTATTATTACTTATAAAAATGGCCATTTTGTCATATAAAATTGGATATGACCTAAAATGGCTGGCAACATCGATCGGAAAAGATCACTAATCATAATCTTTAATATTATTAAATGATTTAGTTACCCGACATCTAACACCCTCAGCCCACCAGATTTTAACTCAGAATGAATAGGAGATAGAAGATTTGAGTTAAAAATTTCCCTCACAATGTTATGCCGTAGAGCAAGATTTTCTTGCTCACGATCATATACTTTGGCTTTACCAGTAAGTGTGTAAAGATATTGTGAGGTTGCATCAAAACCAGCGCCTTTATCTTTTCGAAATTTAGAGAGAGTGATTCCCATTTTATTTTGTAAAAGTGGTTTGTGGTATTTCACATTTTGAATGGGAATTTATCAACTAAATATAACTTTTATATAAATTAAAAGTTTCACCACTAAATATTTATATAGTCACAATTAAATTATCAGTACTGTAACAAAAAAAATATTGGTACAATAATATGCACACTTTATTTTGGAATCATTACCACAAAGTTCATCTCGAACTTCCTATCATTGCTTAAATTTATCCGGTGCTATCATTAGGTTGACTTTTTTAGGATAATTACAATACGTTCAAACAAATATCTTTACGTTATACACTTAAATATTTTTGTAGTACATTACCCTCACTATCAAATTGTACGGATACGAGAACGACGCGAGATCATTATTATTGGATCAAAATTTTTTTTTACAAATTAAATACAAACTTGCTTTGAATGAAATTTTAAATAAACTAATAAATTAAATAAATAAATAGCATCACACTTTTAGCTAAAGCGTTCTCAACCATTTTCCTCAATGGACTCAGCAAAAAATCTGATTGGTCTATCTTGTTAAACTGGCCAATCAAGCTCTTTATTGAATTCATCGAGAGAGTGCTTGTACTCCCTAAGAATACTGTATCTTATTTCGGAAACAACATGGGTACGTACGTACGTACGTGCGTGCGTGCGCACTAGTGATGCAATAGAATTATCACAATCAAAACTCGTACGACCCAATGTTAATTAAGTGCGTAACTTTAATATTAATTATTTACATAAATGATGCGTAGTAACCAGTTACATACGTACGTACGTAATAACAGATAACTTAATAAAACATAATTCAATTTTATGAAAATATTTTAAACCAGATTTATTTAAAATCCTTTTTTAGTCATACCAAAATCTCATTTGATTATCGTGAATTGAAAAAAATGATTACATTTCTACGAAAATGAACTATAAGGATGTGACTAAAGAAACAGTATGAATGAATAGATCGCTAATTCTGGTCAATTAGAATTTACTAAGCAGCAATTTAACGAGAATTCTGGCTCATTTAATTCTATCTCTGAACCTTGTAATATACGATAATTTATCAATTGAAAAAATTGTTGGTCTTTCATATCCAGCTTTTATTGGTAATAATAATTCGTTAATTGAGATAAAGATAAAACATTAAATACGACGACTTAATGGTTGAATTCAGGAAGTCTTGATTATAACTAGAGGTGTGAACGCAATACAAAAAATAAAATAACATTCCCGTATAAAATTTTTTTTTGCACAGCATATTTGCGCCATAACTCATTGAGTTACGGCATTGCGTCCACACTATAACACTGCAAGTTTAATGAAGATAAAGTAATAAATTATTAATATATATTTTTGCACTTTACATGATAAGCTATATAGTTATGTAATGTATATACGTATAAAGTATACGTATAAAATATAAAATTACGGCATATTAAAGTTGTGTTACTATATTAATATGTTACAATACAAAAGTAACCTAATTACGTTACGGCATGTTCCGATGCATCCTAGTACCTAATACGTACGTACGTATGTAAAACTTAGATAACTAGTGCAGTAACAAAAATATTTTCATACGTAAAAAACAAATACTTTATTGCTAAGATAAGAAAAGGATATATATATATATATATATATATATTTAACTATTTAAAAGATTTTTTTTGATCATATCAGGCATTATTAGCTGTAAGTTATTTAATTCGCGTCATCTTCACATTCATTTCTACAAAACCCAGGTCTGTTAACACTTCATAATTATAAAATCTCTAGCATATAATACATAACTAAGAGTTTATATCATAGATGTAAAGATTTGAAATGCACGCATGCTCTGCTGCATCAATTTAGATTCTGTAATTCGCACCCGGGTAATACTGTAATAGTACATGGTGGGTCAGCTACCACATCAAGGAGGTTATTTTATATAGCTATTTATGGTAAATTTATTTTTTGTTAAAAATAAATATAATACATTTGCACATTACACGACTCGTATGAGATGTTAGATTTAACTTCGTGAACAAGTTTGCCACATGATCCGTTTAAGGGTTTCTTAATGTGAGTTTGGTTCTGTAGGTAGGGTATTATGAGTTGCTTATATATTTATTCTAGAAATTTATTGAAATAGATTATTCATCGAATTAACCATCTGCCAAAAAAAAAAAAAAAACGACTTTAAAAAAAGTTTGAAATACGTATAAACTTTCAAATCTAGTCAGAAAAAATGCTATGTTTTTACATTTGGGGCATTATGGCGCACTATGTATTGTGTTACGTACGTACTGCATCCTTCCTCCAGGCATTACCCAAATGAGGAAATATATAATAAAGTTTAAAAGGAACCTGATACTGCATAAGTAATATCAACTCTTACTTATACCTTGTGGTTTAGCAATTAGAATCAAAAAAAATTTATATTATTTGATTCGTCTCAGTAAGACGAATCGAATGGTGCTAAAATTTTGGATGTTCTATAGAATAGGTGGGCAAACTCCGCAAACTCCGCAACTCCGCTAAATATTTATTAGTGATTACGCGGAGTATATTGCCCACCTATTCTATAGAACATCCAATTCTAATCAGTGCAACAAAATGGTACGGCAGATTCTCGATTTTGATTGGCTAAAAGCGACGATCAAAAAATTAGGGCCAAAATTACTCATAATTTTACTAATGAAATCACAGCTGCCCATTAAGCGAAATTACCCCTGGTCAATTTTATCATAATGCGGGCTTATTTTTATTTTTTTAAAAAAATTAAAAAGTTAATTCCGGCCGGAAATTAGTAACAATTATGTAATGTGGGCCAAAATTTTGAAGATCCTCGGCCGTTAGCCAATCAAAATCGAGGATCTGCCGTGAGTTAATTCAAAATACCCACCTGCCCTACCTTATATATACAAAATATTAATATTCAAAAATCGATTCACCTTATGTACAGTACATACGTAATAATTATAACATATGGGTTGTTGCATAGCAAAACCATATATATTTTATCATGGTTTTGCCATATGTTAGTAAAGAAGTTACAGTTTTAAAATTTTAATTAAATAAATATTATGAGTGCTGCCAAGGGAAAAAGGCTTTCAATATATTTTGTGTACAGTTACCGTCTATGAAAAATTTATTATGGTGATAAATTTTCCATAGACGACTAACTACACAAAATATAAAAAATCCGATCGGCCTTTTCCCCTTGGCAGCATTCATATTAGAAAAATATCAAAATGATATATACCGTAGAGCACTGAGCAAAAGATCCCCCCTTCTTGAGTACCCCATGCAAAATGCCCTGGCGCAAATCACAATATCTCTATTAATTAAGTGTGGTTTTTTTAAAATTTCTAGACTGCTTATTGTAAATGCGGAATATGTATGTACTTGAAAATTTTTTTATTTGCGACACAGACCCACAGCTGAATAATATACCCCGATTTTTTGGTGAGTATTTTGTATTAGACCCGGGTCTTTTGCTCAGTGCGCTACGGATATATATATGTACTGTTATTGCAAAATTTTTTTTTTACTATAAAATTACAAAATACAACATATTATTATATATATATGTTTAAATTTTCATTAAAATTAATTAAGATTTGTAAAGTTTTTATATTAAATAAATTTCAAAAGTTATAAATAAATAAACTTTATACTGTATTTTAATATAAAAACCTGGCTAATTTTTAAATATAAATTAGATATATCTGATTTAGTGAAATAAGTATTCAATTAATTATTAAATTGTTTTATTAATAAAATAAATTAATTATTAAATTGTTTTATTAATAAAATCAATTAAATTATATATACCAAAAATTGGAATCGTCTAGAGTCAGGTATATACTGTAGTAATTTATATATGTCACGTGATTTTAATTTAGCGTTAGTAAGCAATTTAAAACAACCTGGCTTTAGACGACCTCCAAAAATATCTAATTTTAATGGTTAAATTATAAACTATTGCTTATTAAAATCTATATCTTTAATTTGGTGCAATGCTTACCGTATTCCTCCGGAAATAGTCATCCTTTTTTACTATAGGAGTGCTTATTTTCGGTATAATCTTAACTAATAATTTGTACGAGTTGATATTTAGTTATTTCTATTATAAAAAGGGGCTTATTTTCAGGTATATATGAATTGCGGGAGTGCTTATTTTCGGAGGATTACAAAATACAAGAACATACTTTAATAATTCAAATCACTAGAAAAATAAAAATACAGTGAAAATGGGTAACTGTTTCAATAAGTTGATTGATCTTATTGGTTTTTAATCACATATCATTCAAGCTTCAAAGAACCATTCTTGGGACCGTGACCAGTGTATAAAATTCAAGCTTTGATTTATGTGAGCTAAATGAATAAAAATGAATATTGAACAAATTTCTATGTGCACTGTATATATAAATCTTAAAATTTGTGTGCAGAAAGAAAATTCTATGTGCGCAATTATCTTAAGCGACGTTCGATTTATACACTGACCGGGTCTTATTAGAACTGGGCGGACTGATCCCAGTGTTAGAAATCTGTTTTGAGATTTATGTTCTCATGAGAACAAATTTATTAAATTTAATGTTCTCGGAAATTTATTTATGTTCTCAATTTATATCCCTATTTTTTTAAATTTCTTATTTCGGAAAATATCGGTCATTTATTCAAATTTTTGTTCAAACCCAACCCTTCTCGTCTTTTATGTTCTTTTCGGATGATTTCGGAACTTCGTTCGATTCCTAATTATATTTCCATCTGGCATTATGCTATTATATTTATATCATACTTACTGTATATAGAGAACATATTTTTCGAGCATTATGTTCTCAAATTTTTTTTTCATGGAGAACATTTACAGAATATCAAATGTTCTCAAATCTAAAGGTATGTTCTCCTGAGAACATGAGAACATAAGATTTCCAACACTGACTGATCCATCCCTACATCCATCAAAAAAAGGCATGTCCGCACATTATCACCGGCTGCACTTCTCTAATT